GTAAGCATAAAGTCTATTTTTCATCATCTTTTCAAAACAGTAAATGCCACAAACACTGTTGTGTGTAGAGCAGGGCGATACGAACAAAAATATTTATCACGATATACATTTGAAAATTTGCGATAACGATATAACTGACGATATAATTGACACGAGACAAAACACTTTACGACTCCACAACTTTATTAGTGCAAAAAAAAAAAAAACCCTATCAATGTATTTTCACTTAAACAAGCAGCTGTTTTTTTTTTATATCCATTAAGTTATATAAAAATTAACAGTGCAAATGCAAATTCCTGGCTGACAGTTTAACCAAAAGGCATTTCCAGTGGAAACTGGCCGACATATCCTCAACATAACCATGTATAATATCCACAAACCTTAAAAAGAGGTCATACACACACAATACGGTAATATTATGTTGAAGCGCAGTACGTATCACTCCGCGAGGCTCCTGCCTACGATAGCCGTAATGCTCCGACAATCCATCAAGCGGTGCGGCTTCGTAGCTTAGCAAAGTCGTACTAAAACATTTGACAGATTTTCGAGCGCCGTGTACATAAAATCGTTTCGAGGTCAGTAAACACAACCAGATTCATACATAAGGCACACGGGATTATAAGGGGCATCTGTCGATTTTCAGAAAAATCAAAGGATTGATTTTAAGTGCGCCATATTTTCCAAACAACACGGTAATAACGACGGCCCGCTAGCATGCGCTACCAAAAATAGTGCTTTGTTGTGTATCTGACGGACGAAAGCTAAACCAGTTCCACACCAGTGAAGCTGCAGCATTTTTACAAACCAATTCTGGTTCATCCGTTTCATTCAACGATCCGCCTTCGCCCTTCTCATTCTCCGTCGCCGCCATGCTTTTTCCGCCATGTGCGTATGAAAACAAAGGCACTGCACATGCGCGTTTTAACCATATTCTATCGTGATGTTTCATTTTCTTATCGTTGCCCAACATTATACCGGTATTACCGTGAACGATATGATATGACCCAGCCCTAGTTGGGTGTAGGGCATTACTGTGCTATATTCTGTAATCACATTACAGTTACTAATCAAATAATCATTTTCATTTATTGCACAAAATAACAAGAATGCGATGGTTACAAACTGCATCCAGGCCAGAAACAGCCGTTCACTGCTGCTAACGTTGTGACTGTTTTCAAGCATCTGTGCAGACGGCAGAGTAACATAAAGCAACACAAGGAACACGGAGCGACGTTATTTAAACATGAGCGCATGCTGAACCCGGCCCAGCAGCCAGAGCCCGATCTTCAACAGCTAAGAGTGATGAGCAGTCAGGCTTGTACCGCTGTAGCCTCCAATTATACCCAATCCTGCTTCTATAGAAGAATCAATCATTGTTTTCTAGACCCTTTAACAACATCTTGTAGTAGCAATATTGTCAAATAGAGCTTGTAGTAAGCAGGGGGAATAAGGGAGGTATTAAGGAACTTCCTCTCGGCTCATTGGTTTGAAGAAAAGGCATCACGGTGCAACAATCCTTTCAATCAACAATCCCTTTAATCATTGCTTGAAACACCATAAAAAGGGTTTTATCCATAAATGACTTGTTATTTTCAGTTACATTAATATAATATTGCTTTAACTTATTCATTTTATTTGGGATTGAGTACTGTATTTCTAATGATGTTTATTATTTGTTGAAAGTTCTGTTAAAACTGCTTCTCTAAGCTGTCAGCATAGACTTTTGACTCGTGCAATAATATGTTTTTTCAAATTGTTGTATTATTGCTTTCTTTTTCATCACTACATCCTAAAGGTGACTGTGGAGGCCACCTAAGTGCAGTGAACCCATTCTCAAGTTGAAGAAACCCACTTGAGATCATTTGAGCTTAATGACATTATCCTGCTGGAAGCAGCCATCAAAAGATGTGGTCATAAAGGGATGGGCATGGTCAGAAACATTACTCAGGTGGGCTGTGGTATTTAAATGTTTAAATGATGGTCAGGTGGCATTAAGGGGCCTTAAGTTTCTCAGTAAAATATCCCTCACACATTACAGATCCAACACCAGCTTAAACTGGTGATCCATCACAGGATGAATCCATGCTTTCATGTTGTTTGCAACAAATTCTGATGCTACCATCTGAATGTCAAGATCAGGTGTTGTTTTTCCAGTCTTCTGTTGTCTAATTCTGGTCAGCCTGTGTGAACTATAGCCTCAGTTTCCTGTTCTGAGCTAACACCAGTGGCACCCAGTCTGGTACTCTGGATACCTTAATCTCATCTGACCTCTGAAACCTAAATAAAACACAGGTGGGACAGACAATTACAAAGGAGAGAAGACAAAGACAGGAAGTAAAAAACAGAGTAAAAGGTGAAGCAACTATGGCAACAAGACAGGACTTGGAAACTTGAAAGATGAAGACAAGATAGCAGATGGCAACATAAGAAATATCCGAAAGAGTAACCAAAGATTTCAAATAAACACCAGATAAGAACCCAGGCCATGTCACACTTTAAATCGCTTTCTTCAGGGTGGTAAATATGTAACTTAATGGATGACTTTTTAATAACAGTAATAACTTTTATATTGACTCCAAACACTTGTCACAAATTTTATACCAAAGAACAGGATATCTGGCCTCATCCTACACCTGCTTATAGTCAGATAATAAGTTAACCAGAACTAATTTGCACTGCTGAAGAAAGCAACATAATTATATATCGTTATCATAAAATGATAATCATCTGCTGCAGACATTAATTAATTTTGCACTGGTAGAAAACCGGTGGAGTGCCAGTCAAAACACAGACACACACAAATTCCTGTTCTTTCCTTATCAGCTGCTTCGGCTAATGTTGTATGAGAAAGCAGATAAGATTGCGTAATTGCGAAGTCAACCAAAACAGACTCAAATGCAGCACCACCACTCAATCACCGTCTGCAAGCGGCCCCCTGAGCTCAGTGTCTGCAACATTCATTTGCCTGGGGGCAGATTTAATAGAGCGGTCACGCTGTGCTGGATAAACACCAAACAAGGACACACTAAAAACGTTTAAAATCCTCATTTAAGGTTTTAGGAAACTGTCTGACACAAGAAAAATGTCCTCAAGTGCACGAGTAATTCTTCTATCATTAATATTTATAATAAAAACAAAAAGGGATTTTGTTTGGAAGACCGTAGCATACACGGACCTTTGTGAGACATTTTAACTTCTTTTAACTATTTCTCCATAAACAGCGAGCGCAGTAATGCAGCTGCCACACTGACCCATCAACTGTTCTCAGAGAGGGCATGTCAATCCCTTGTTTCTCATTATTTTCTAAAGCTGTGCCAAAATCAGAGGTCAGCTTGACATCAATAGAGGCGTGCTCTCAGGCTGACATTGGCCGATCACCGGGGCTTTACTCCGCAGAGAGAGAGCCTCAAAAATAGTGAGAAATGCAGATCAGCTGCAGCAAAATGAGAGACAGGCTCACTCTAAAATATGAGCTGACAGATCAGATTAAATGTGGCTGTCTGCTGTTTGAGTGGTCGTGGAGTGAGAGGCTGCAAATCTCACATTTCTTAGCAGTATATGCAATAAACATGTAATATAAATAATATTATTAAAGCTTAAACAGGCATCAGAAAATCTACAATAACATTTCAACAGGTGAGTTTGTTGAATGTTTCAGATACATCTGCAGCTCCTCTGCTGAACTGACTGCTTGTAGTGCTCAAAGATGCTTTTATACAATGAACCCATTCAGACAAGCGCTTTTTCTACACTTGACTGATTTCTATCTAACGTTCACACACTGATGGAAGCAACCGAGAAACCTGCTCTACCTCCTGAGCTACAGATCCAACCGCCTAAAAAATGACCTGCAGCCACCAACGTTTTCCTAGATGCAGGGAGGCCGTTGTCCTACTTTCACTCTAATATGACTGAGCCTTAAACTAACTACATGTACCTAACTGTAGGATGGCGGTATCCAGTTGACTCGTCCTGTATGACGTTAACAAAAGTTAGTATAGTTTTTATGTGCCAAATGTAATAAGGAGACCCACTGAGATTTTGGACCACACCTTTCTTTAGAAATATGTTTTTCCTCCAGATAAATGGTCGTCTGTCACTCAGGAGGTAGAGATTTCTTGCTACTAACTTCAGTCCTTTGTCAAGATACTGATTGCTAAATTGTGAGGTTTGCGGCGTGGCTGAGGGGGAGGCGGACGTACCTGAGCAGCATCCGCAATCCCGCCTCGCTGGCTTAAAAAGAATGAACTAGGTCGTGTTGTTGTTGGTGATGTGTGTGGGCTGTAGTTGAAAAGCTGGATGCAGCGGATGCTCATATTATCGTTAACTGCCGCAAATTTCTTTGTAAAAGTGATTCCGATGTTAAACGTTAGTTCCCCGTGACTTTTCTGCCAGGTAACTTGCGCCCCACCTGTCAGAACTCTAATCCATGCAGCTGAATCAAATGATTTAGGTTCATGAATGTGGCTTAGAAAAGGTGCTTTGGGTGGTCTGGTGAAGTATATATGCATCACTGCAAACAATACCCCACACTCAGGTGCCCACAGATTGGACGACACTAATCTTTGAATCCTGCTATAATTTTAATCCAAACAACAAACCTGTAGAGTTTCATGAATGCACCTTGCACAGTTGCTATCGCTAATGCCATCATATTGACAAAATCTCTCCAAACTCACTGCTCAGTCAAAGTCAGGCCTCACATTTCCACAGTCCTCAAACTGGAGTCTTTTCTCTCTGTGGTAAACTTTCTCAACAAGGACTAAAGATGACAGATAGAACAAACAAACCTCTACATTTCACACTGAACTAAATGTAGAAACAAATGTGCCCCATGTAACGTCACTACATTGGTCTGCAACGTGGAAACAGCAACCTTTATTAGATATCTGGATTTGTAGCCTGAAGAACAGATTTATGATACAGCTTTTTTTAATGGCACTTTCAAGTCAGTTCATTTCTCAGTAAATAAAGGAGAGTTGAAGGAAATGTCTTCTTACCTGCATGGACACGGCTCGGACTTGAATTGTTTTCGGTTGGGAAAACAGCTGGGGATCAGCAACACGCAAGGTGAACTCACCGCTCCTGCAGGAAGACGAAGAAAGGGGAACTCTTAAATGAAGACAAATCTTGGAGTAGGGAGACTAAACTTCACCATCCCTTATTTGTGAAATTGCTTTAAAAACTGCTTTAAAAATGTGACAGGCACAGCATGCTACCCTCAGTCCCGTGAGGGTAGCATGCTGTGTTGTCATTAGACCTGATCACCTGTGAGTTATCTGTGGGAGTGGAGGTGTGCTATCACAAACACACAAAAGCCCACCTGCTCACACACTCATCATCATCAATGCGCCCCCCTACACTGCTGCCTTACCATATTCCAAGCCAAGGCTTATTACCCACAACTCCCCAGGGCTGCAGCTGGGAGACATCCAGAGAGTCTGAAGATCAAATAACCGAGCGGGTTGTTTGTTTTAGTGACAGAAAGGAAAAAGCCAAGTGCTTAGGTGCTTTTTGGACTGCAGTAGCATCTTTGAAAGTTGCTAATAGTTTTAACCGTCATGGTCCTCTGGTCCATGTGTTTCTAGTTTCTCCTGCCTCACTGGCACCACGTTTGATGCCAGTCTTCACATGCTCACCCATCTCGTTTTAGTTTCACTTCCTGCTTTTGGTCTGGACGTCTCTTCCTGCAGAGATGCTGAGATGTTCTCAAGCTAGTTGAGAGAAATAATCCCTGACTTACTGCCAGTAAAAACACACCAAACTGCAGCTCTACAGTGAAACAGCCACAGAAACAGCCCAGATACACGTAAAGTATGGAGTTATATTAAAGTAACAGAATATATTTCTGAAAAATAGTCGCTGAAGTTGTAAATCTCATTTTCTGTGCCGAGTGTTGCTGTTGCTGGTACATGTCTTCACTTCATTATAGATGAGAGAAAGATTTTTTTTTAAATGCAGCCTTGAGACAAGTGGAAAGGCTTCTGATCAGTAGTAAAGTCTACCACTCAAAGAAATAAAATTCATTTTTTGTCAGCGTCTTGACCCATGGCATGTTTTTCAAAGGCACTCGTGAATGAAAATAACTCATTTTGAAAGCTCAAAAGAGTTTGTCTGTAACAGCAATCAACATTTAATCTTTTTATTCATCATTCGTCCATTTTTTCCCACCATCATCTGAACGCAGCACATGTTTTTGGTTTTTTTTTTCTGATGGACACATCTCCTCTTACGGGAATTAAAACCTGTTACCATGTGCTTGCTGTTCTGGGTCTACAGCCGTCATCCTCTGCTTGACATAATTTGAAAAATATGGCAGATTTAATCTCATTTGGAGTTTTACATTTTTCTGTCTCCATTAATCTAATGGCTTAAACCTGTACAGAGGATCACATTTTGCTAATTCACTGGCATGCTGCCATTTTAGGCCTAACCAGCTGAGTCAGGATTGACCAATATGACTGCTCTGTCCATTCAGACTGAGTGAGTGGACATCTGTCCCAAACACAGCGACAGAGGGGAGGCTGCAGAGAACAATGGGCAACATTTCTCATCCATTAACATAAGACTGCCTTTTGATTTTCAGCTGCTTTGTTTTCCTTTCAGGATGTCAGGGGTCAGCGCTCTTTAATGTCTGCTTTCTGCTGTCTACACGTATCTGCAGCCTCTGTGATTCCCGGCACGGAGTGCACTCAGACTGGGGTCAAACAGAAAGAAATGCAGATTATGCAAATATGACCACATTAACCCAAACATGTAAATGTAATGCATCTCACATCCATGTTCAGGTTAATAGAAATGAACTTTGGAGTCAAGAAGCAGCATAAATCAAACAGGAAACTTTGACAAGGAGTGAAAAATTAAATGTCAGGATACTCATTAATGAGAAGGAAGGAGATGATGAGCTTAAAGGGATAGTTTTATCCACAGTTTGGGATAAGCTAACAGTTATAGTGATCAGGTCAGAAAGGTCTGAGGAGTCTAAGGAGACATGCACAGACCTCCTTCTCCCCAGACACCACCTCCAGTAAGTCCTGGATTTACCCAAGATGCATTCTGGTCATCAAAGGAAGCTCATGTCTGCTGCGTATCCACAATCTGATTCTTTTGGTCACACCCACAGTTCACAGCCACAGGTGAAATGTAGATCGGCCAGTAGACAGACAACCTCACCTTTACATCCAGCTCTCTTCACCACAACAGACCAGTACAGAATCTGCATTTCCCACTGCACTCAACCCTTGAATAAGACCCTGAGGTTCTCAAAGTTCTCCACCTAGGCCAGCAAGTGGAGGAGTGTCCACCCAGCTGAGACCCACCTGAATCTGGAGGTCATCACTCAATGACGCCAACACATCCAGGTTCTACTAACCGATGTTAAGTTGTTAAGTCACGTTAGGCTCGCTAAGATATCTTATTACCTTTAATTTCGAGTTAATTGTTTTTGCACATAAAAAAATGCTTGAAAAAAACAGAAAGAACTACAAAGACAAAGAAATATCTTGGTACCATTTCATCTAAGATCTGTCCTTTAATCGAGGTCGGCTAAATCATCCCTGTGTGTGTGTTATCTCTGGTTTTACACTATGAATTAGTCCTTAGTCCTGTCACTGTCTAATGCCTCTTCCACCAAAATAAATCCTTATTACTTGGTGGGACTTTTGGGACAGTGGAGGCACAAAGTAAAGATATAATCAGAATGATCATGAAAAACACCCAGAACAGTAGAAGCAGTCCGTTAGATTACGTTAGGTAACATTTTTGCTGTACATGGATGGAGTTACAAAATTGCACACCTTTGCAAAGCAGTGCCTGCCACCCAAAAATTCATAAATTATCGTTAAACAAGTATAAGTATAGTAGCTCTGTGACTGAATACGTCCAAGTATTGTGTCAAACTCATGTCTGAGAAAAATAATTCCAGGCAAAATACAGAAAAAGTTTTGTCCGTCTTACTGACCTGTCTTTGTCTCTCTGGTATTGGAATCGGACCCGACCGTGCCTCAGCTCTGCCCACGTGAACGTGTCGTCCTTCTTTATTTCTCGGCCTCCCGTCTCTTCGCCTTCTTCCCCTCTGAACAGGACCAGCCGTCCGTTACTCGGCTTCTGAACAAGCTGAAAGATCAGCTGCTCAGACGGACTGTCTGGGTCTTTCACCTGCAGCAGGGTGGGGAGCAGCGGGGCAAAACCATCAAAGGGAACCAGCAGGGACCCGTTGACATGGAGGGCAGGTGTGTGGGCGTTCACTGAGAGGACCAAGAAAAGAAAAACTCAAATCAATAACCTCATTAAAGCCAAGCTGGTGGAACACAAGTAAATTCTCTTACAGTGCATTTTAGATCCTTCTTGTGAAATACACAACAAATAGCAAACTTTCTTATACCTGTGGGGAAATTCATCGTCACGGATCCTCCAAAACAAGATTAAAGCAAAACTGGATTATCAACGAGTATTTTTTAATAAAAGAATGGGAACTTGGAAGGTAGGAAAATAATCAGAAATAGAAATACCGAGTCGTTTAATCCATGCACAGCATCAAAAGTACATTTGTGAATGGTTTACTGAAAAAAGCCATCAAAGTAACTGGACTAATAACCAGCGTACAATAATAATTTGGTTTAAAAAAGCATCCAATTATCTTCATTAATACATTTTAATGCCTTCTTTAAATATCTGTTGGCATGGAGTTGTAGTCGGTCGGCGTAGAGGTTGAGAGGAGGTTATAAACTGAAAATGAAAAAAGTGTGTGTGGGAGAAATGGCAGACATATCACGAGTGAGACATCTCGGCCTTGGCGTGGCATTTTAGAAGTTGGCTCTAATTGGTGCTGACTTTGTTGGGGAACTTTTTAAAGATCAGCTCTTTTTGAGATGCCACCCTAATCTCATTATACCTCCCGTAATGATGCCAGCAGGCATGCTTAAATCTCAAACTCTGGGCCATGTAATTATACTTCCAAATGAGAAGAAGTCTATAATTTAAAGCAATAGTTCCTGAACTTTTTTTTTTAGGGGGGGCTGCCAATTTTTTGTTTTTAAAGAGCAATTTTTTCTCCATTTTACTTCATTAACGTGTGGATTAGCTGAAGGCTAAAAATGTTCATTATTTTACAAGAAAACGCATTTATCAGAAAGTGCGTGATAATATATTTCTTAATTATAAATATGCTTTGTCACTTTTCATTAAGAACTACAGTCTGCGCCTCAAGGCATTGGGCATTTCAGCCTGCGGGTTGTTTTAAGATAAAAGAGGAAAAAAATTAAAGTACAAACTCTTTTAACATCCTAACTCTGCAGACAAAGCCTCCCCAGTCTTATTCAGGAGGACCAATTAAAAGTCACCAACAGGAACCTTCTAATTTCAGACAGATGTTAGCAGTCTTAGCTTCCAGTATCTTTATATTTGACCTGCAAAGACTTACATTTGTTATCAGTTTTCAAATTTGACTTCATAAGATGAAGTTCTATAGACCTTTTTCACCTCTAGATAGAGTTTGATTGATAGTTTATTTACGTTCGTCAGTGACTGAGAAACACAAATTAAATCAAGAGTTTTGCTGGGATCTCAGCAGATCAGCTGATCTCAGTGCCAGTCCACATCAGCTGACACTTCTATATATCCACCGGCTCTCTCATACAGAGAACACTATTTATGTAGCTTAGCTTGCCTACTGCACACTGAAGCTCATGCGAGCGGTATCTGACGTATTCAATGGCATAATCTCTTATCTTACTTCTGTTCTCACTCCTCTGGTTTTCAATGCATGGAAGGTTTTTCCTTTCAGTAACAACCACCTGTAATGTTTAGGCCCTCTGCTAAAAGTAACCGAGATTTTTTTATTCAATCTTAAATACTTTTTTATGAACTGGTAAAAAAGAAAACCAGGAGAACGTATACACTTCTATTATATTACCACAGACGCTTTGCTTTAACTGTGAATGGACCGATCATAGTAACTCCCAAAAGATTTTAAAAACGGGAAAAACTGACATGGAAATAAAAAAAATTGGTCCTGACTCATGTTAACATGGTCTTTATGTTCCAAACATTTAATTGCGATCACAAATGCTACCTGCTGAAAATATATAACTGGTCTGCTTGGTTGTGAGTTTCTTTGTGAAAAATACAATTGAAGCCTTTAATATGTTCTGATATATTACTAATACTATATTACAGTTGCTATGACCTTTATCTTCAACTGGAATCACTGTATCTGGTCTTTTTTTTTTTTTTTCAAAATAGCTGTTGTGAGCAATACTGCATTTATTTATTTAATTATTTATTTATTTATTTATTTATTTATTTATTTTTCTCCTTTTTTTTGTCATTCTCCCTCAGATATTTTTATTAAAGTTTCTGGATCCATTTTTACAAAAGACAAATTGAACAAATGCCGTTTTCTTTTTGAAGAACATAAAACAATATGAAACATACACTCCCACCTCATAATTATAGAAGTACCAGTGGGTGTACAAAAAGAAAGGGTCCAATCTAATAATACGAATAGTAAACCCTGGAGTACAAGATAGCAGTTCCTGAGTGTACAAGAGAGATGTGGAGAGTTTCAGAGCCCACACCCCCACACAGACACAGAAAAAACAAAACACAAACATAATGAGTGGTCAGCTTAGTTGTAGAGATAAGTCAATTCTGTAAGAGAAAAGAAATATGTATAAAGTAGGTAAGTAAATGCCATCATAAGGCGCAGGCACAATAGAGTCCATATACTTAAACATAAACATCTTACTTAAACATAAGATAAAATAAAATAGAATAAAGTCTGAGCTGGCTAATTGGGAGTGTTGCGAGACCGCAAAGTCTGAACATGGTCAAAAAAGGGTGCAGTGCACTGATATTTCTGTGCAGCAGCATTCAGGGGGAACAGTTCACTCTTAGCGAGATTCAGCTTATAGCCAGAAATAAGGCTAAACTGTTCAAGTATTGAGAGCACCAAAGGAAATGAGGATGCTGGTTCTGAGATATAAAGAAGCAAATCATCTGCGTATAAGGAGACCCTTTGTTCTATACCATTTCTAGTAACCCCGGTGATACCTGGGTTTGATCTCAGCAATATGGCCAGGGGCTCAATTGCAATTGCAAAGAGCAACGGCGACATGGGACAGCCCTGCCTAGACCCCCTAAATAGAGGAAAAAAGTCAGAACATGTGCCATTTGTTTTGACAGCGGCAAGCGGGGAAGTATAAAGACGTTTCAACCAGGAGATGATTATTTTACCAAAGCCGAATTTATCCAAAACATAAAAAGGGTATCCCCACTCGACCCTGTCAAAAGCCTTCTCAGCATCTAAACTGATCCCAAACTCAGGGCTGTTGGAGTCTGAGGGACTGTAAAGAACATTAAACAAACGTCTAAGGTTAGAGAAGGCATATCTCCCTTTAATAAAGCATGTTTGATCCAGGTTAATTAGAGATGGCAAGACTGCTTCCACACGCATCGCTAAAAGTTTAGCAAGGATTTTATAGTCCACATTTAACAAAGAAATGGGACGGTATGAGCCACATTGTAATGGATCCTTATCCTTTCTGTTCTTTTTAAATGATCAGTATTAGAGGGGTATTTGGACACAAATACACTAAATCATAACTGGGTTTTCTTCAGGTATGAAAGGTTAATAATGTCTTTAGTTTTTCCCCATCGAGTTGACAGAAACTGTAGGGTCAGGCTTGGAAGAGGGATGGGCTGAGAATGGGGTATCAAGTTGGGTACAGTCCACCATTTAATCCAGGGATGTCGAACTCCAGGCTTCGAGGGCCGGTGTCCTGCAGGTTTTAGATATCACCTTGGGTCAACACACCTGAATCAAATGATTAGTTCATTACCAGGTTTCTGGAGAACTTCAAGACATGTTGAGGAGGTAATTTATCCATTTAATCAGCTGTGTTGGATAAAGGAAACATCTAAAACCTGTAGGACATCGGCCTTCGAGGCCTGGAGTTCGACACCTGTGATCTAACCAATGGATAGGCACAAATCTTTCACACTCCATCCATCCATCATATTAAATTTAGCCTATCCCAGCTAATAACCTCCTCTCCCTTTACAACAGCCACACATGCCAAATATGTTCATATGTTCATCTCTGGCTCATGTGATGAGATTGAGCCGTCAGCAGAAGCATACCTTTGGGAATTTAACCTTTTTAACCTTATATAAGACACGACGTCCTGGCAGTAACTGCAGTCATGGCTGTCTCCCCATTCCTTTACAATGATACGGTCTTGCTAACCCAAAACGGGTGCCCAGCACGGCACGGATCAGTGCTGTAATTTGCCTAAAAAGTTCAAAACACGTTCTCTAAAAAGCTGCTTGCCAAATTTGAAACACAGCACACCCCATGTGTGATAGACGGGTCACTCATTAGTGTCAGAGTGACGATCTGACCACAGTTGAGCTGCACAAAGTGACTGAGGACTGCCAATGACAAAACTGCTCACTGAGTCGAGTGTGTCACAATAAAAGCACCACTGCGACACAAAAGTACGAGCTGCTGGTGAAACTTTATCATGACATTTGTTGCTGTGCAACTTCAAACTGACAACACGTTTTACTGTATAAGCTTTATTTTTGGAGGGACATTAACATTTTGCAGCTTAACCTCCTCCACAGCATCACACACTTTTTCTGTTAGCAATGTAAATTTGCTTTTATGTAATATCTTGTGGTAATTTGCATTATTTATGTGGGCATCTTTAGTTTATTTGCATATAAGAAAAAAGCTCCCACTGGTACAGTGCTTGATACATGATGCTGTGCTCAGTTTAGAAACCTCCCAGCTGAGAGAGAGAGAGTGACCTGGACCTACTCCCAGGCCTCCCAGTTTGGCTGCAGAATTCACCTACTGTTGGTCTTTAAACTGTATTTATGCAATTCTTCTTATCAGAATTAACAGATTTGAAGTCTGGGAGCTTTCTATCAATAAATTAAAGGACTTTTCTGCTATGTAATGATAACTAAAACCAACATAGGCATCATGTTATTACCGTGACAGGTCCTGGTCTTCTGGTCTGCGTAGTATCCATGTCCACAGTCAGGAGTGCAGTATCCTTCCATGAGGTAGGTCTGATTACGACAAGCTCTGCAGAGTCCGTTCCCGTCGCAGAGCACGCAGTCGGACGAGCAAGCTGAAGGAAAAGATCCAAATTATTCAAATATTATTCAAATTGCTTCTTTTTGTTTTTACACAAGTCTTCAACTTTAAATGTTTTAAATGTCTATTATAAATTTATTTTTCAAACTAAATTAATACTCTGATCTTCATAGAAACAGTCTTTAAAAGTCTATCACTACATATAGAAATAGAAGATGTATATTCTTACATTTGCAAGCTTTGGAAGATGCATCCAGGAAGTAGTTTCTGCCACATTCGAGCACACACTGGCCGTGCAGCATGGCGTAGGGAGGCTGGCATTCCTGGCACTGTCCAGGACCTCGACAGTCCAAACAGTGATCATCACAGCCTGCCGCAGAGAGCAAAACATTTGAAAAAAACAGTGATATAGTAACTGAGTTAAAGACATTATTTATTTTATCACCAGATATTTTCTTAATGTGTTTTTGGCTACTAGCACCGGTGAAAAAAGTAACATGGAGTCACACAGAAGCTGTATTACAGACTGCTAATGCACACATGCATTAATCAGTTTGCTTAGGCTTGTATGAATGTGTGTGACTGAGTGAATGAGGCTTGCTGAGAGTAGAAAAGTGCTATACACCAGTCCATGCAGTTGATTTGGCCAGTTCATACAACTTCTACATATAAAAGCTCTTTTAAGGAACCTTTTAGTTCAGCTGCTGCTGATTATCTGCTTTATTAAGATTGGCTGCGTTAGCAATCGATTAGGAAAAACAACTTCAAATGGACACAAATGTACAAACAACAGTGTAAAAGCCCAGAGGAAGCTCTTTGTGCAGCTACAATAGCACCGACTGCATGTGAAGTGGGTCAATTTATCTGCTTTTTGTTGGACTGACCGAGGCATCTGTCTCCGTCCCGATAGGAGCCAAAGGAGCACCCCTGCGTGCACACTCCCTCCTGCAACACGTAGGCCTCCATGCACTGCAGGCAGTCAGTCCTCAGGGGGCCTTTACAGGCATTGCAGCTCCAGTCACACTCTGCAAACAGGATGGACGGTAGCAGAAAAGGAGTGAGAGGAGGAGGTGTACGTGCGTGTGTGTGTTGGGACATTGGGATTAGAAGTGAGGGGATTTTAGAGGTGAGAGCAAATAGTGAGAACAGAACAGAAGAGAGGGAGGGCGAGAGACCAAAAGAGATTAATCAACTTTTTTTTCTCTATGGGATTGATTTTAAAGCCATTTGTGCTTCTTTCTCTCTCATCACCTGCACATCTGTTGTTTGTCCTGTGCACAATTAATACAGGCACGAAAATGAAGCACAGTTGGGACTCTTCATGCTTGTATGACCTTCTACATTTGTATTAAACCTGAAGATGAAACTAAGCAGGATACACAGTTTGTAGAGCAACTACACATACAGTGAAATGCTACATTTTCCTAAAACGTATCAAATATACAAATTAGCCATAACTGTAGCCCAGAAAACTTCTGAACACATCAAGCTGAACTCTGAAAAAGGGACACATGTCAGCGAGGCGACTGGTGTCTGGGCATTAGTGCCGTTCATGTGAATCAGTGAAGTGGACCTGGCACCATCTTTGTGGTGTTGGTGCCTTTCAGATCACTTTAAACGAAACGATCTGAGTAATAGCATGGCTTTGTGCTCGGTCCAAGACGTTTTTCTTCCGTTTTGGTTCTAGTAATTGATAGTCTGCTGATAACTCCAGCCTTTCATCCACAAATCACCTCAGTCTTCAATAAAACAACACAGTGATCCAGTATGCTTTACAAACCTATGGCTAATAAGATGGTGGCAGCGTCCTTCCTTAAATATACAGCATGCAGCTGAGATGGATGTTTGGTCCTCCTGCTGTGATGCTAAGTTAATTAATATTCTAATTTCCTCATGCAAGTTTTCCTTGGGGTCAATCTTTGATTTTTTTGTTTATATTATGGCAATATATATATATATATATATATATATATATATATAATAAACAAAATGACGAAATTATATATAACAGCCACCATGAAAACTAGTTCATCTCTTAGTCCGTCTTCAGCATCTACCTTTGTTTTTAGGTGATAGTGGGAGGCAAACGGTGGGATCTGAGATGTAAATGAGGGATTTCTCAGTGGACAAAGATCACTGATAAAGCCAAACAAATGTAGGTTTTGGTAGTGCTTAAGGGTTTGTAAGAGACTCTCTCTGAGAACTTTGAAAGCTCCCCCGAGGCTGTGAAATGAAAGCTCCCAAAGTTTCTCGAAGCTGTTTTGGTTTTTGAGAGAGCTGATAGCCGTGGTGCTTTTAACTCTTCTGGGTGCATCTAAGGTTCAGTGGATTAACCAGGGGGGTAAACACCATCATGAGCTGGATGGCTAAAAACCACCTGTCTAAGTGGGAGGCGCTACTCGCTGGCTCAGAGGGAATCAAAATGTTTATTTAGCCCGGAGCAGCTAGCTTAGCTTCTAATCCCATAACAGACATGTGCAGTGTTGGTTCAGCCTCTGGGACCGTTCCTTTGGGCCCCCGATACCTGGAAAACCCTTACTGCACTGGACTGAATCAGTGATAAAGGGTGATTTCCGCTTTATGTGAAATAACTTACTGTGAATTAAAGCATATGGTACATCAGCGTAACAACAGTCATGGGCTGAAATTAAATCTTATGCAGTCATTATTCTTTGATCCGGAAAAAGGAAAATGGATAAAAAACACATTTTCACGTGTCTTATTATTGAGTTCCAGCCTGAAAAAATGCAAGCAAGGCTGATTAGTGGGTATTTAAATATATAAACAGTGGTGAAAAAAGGGATAGCTATTCACTCAGGCCCGGGATCCCCTGAGGCTCATGCATCAATGTCTCTGTGCACAGGAAGATGTAATACTGAGTTAAAATGCACACACAATGTGTAGCATTTGCATACCTGGTTCTACAGTTTATTACTTGATTGATGGAGCCTATAAACTCAATGTAGCACAGTACACTACATGCAATATGGATGAAGAGCAATTTATGAATATCATAAAGGGTGCACTGCATATCCTCATTATTAATCCCCCTTGCCTCACTGCACCAGTGCATTTTGTGTGAGGTTGTCAGGCGACTTGGCAGCGTACCTCTGCAGGTGCGGGTCGTGGTGTTGAGGTAGTACTGATGGGCGCAGCTGTCGTACTGGCATTCTCCGAACAGCAGCACCTTGGCCGGGTCACGGCAGGACGTACAAACCCCGGGCGTCTCGCACGTCAGGCACTGGCTGTCACATGCTGCAGAGAACAGAAAAGGTCGACGGACTAGTGAGGAAAATGTGAAACACCAGCCAACACCATAAACTGCCTGAATGTGGCTGTGTCGGATGCAGGGATTGCCAAAATTCCTCCTAAACACATGCACGTGAGGTTAATAAGTGATTCTAAATTGACCTTGTGTGTCTGTAATAAGGAGGCAGTCTGACCAGGATGTACCCCACCTCTCGCAGCTTAAAGAGGCCCTCACAACACAAACAGAACAGAAGGAGTACTGAGTAATTAAAACACCAACTAACTGCACTTACTTGTTCATTGAGTCTGGGATCTGTCTGTAAAATGTAAAAATATCGTCTTAGCATTCTTGCGGTGTTGATGGCCTGTTTTCATGACTACCTGCATCACTTTCCCACCGGCTTCTCTGCTTCACTCATTACTTTCAGCGTATATTCCACTGACTCACCATTCATTTTCTGACAGACCGTCTTTGTGAACTTTCACTAAACTTTTGTGCCATGAATGGTCCTTTTTGTTTGTGCCTGTTTTCGCCCTCTGCCCACTCTGTCTGGAATTCAATTCAGGCAATTCGTTCAATTTTATCTGCCTGACTTGTAGGTGAACTCGTTTCACGTGAACAACAAGTTGGCTTTTTGGTTTTCTGTACGTGAGTGCTGCATTTCGCTCTGTTTTACGAGTTGTGACAAACTAAAAAGTAGCAGTAAGCTAATACCCATCAACTTCCACGTTAAAAAGTTTCCAGCAGAAACACATTTTTACGGGTCTCTGTGGATAGTATCCTTCTTTATAAGAACCGTACCAGGATTATTATTTTTAATAACTCATCCAACATTGTTGCTTGTGTTGGAGCTGAAAATCAGTGTGTGGCCCTTGTCTGTAGCCTGTAGGTGTCTGCTAAGCTTCACCTTCACTAACCGGAGTCTCTGAACTAGACTTGTTTGGCTGTGTTTGTGGTTTTGGTGTTTTTTGGGGCATTTTAATTAAATAATCTCACCATTAATATTGCCTGATGTGTCCAAGAAGTTTGTAAATTTGTAATGGTAAGTAAAAGTCTATGATTTAATTAGACACTCATTAGCGGTTATATATGCAGACAGTCTTCTCAGTGCAAACATAGAGTGCAGCTAACAGGAAAGGACCTTAACAAACCAAAATAGTAACATAGCAAAGGCATATTTTTAACATTCACAGTAAGCTTGTTTGCGTGTGTGTGTGTGTGTGTGTGTGTGTGTGTGTGTGTGTGTGTG